CCCCCCCCCCCCCCCCCCCCCCCCCGCGGTGAGCCGCCATCTTTCTGCAGCGAGACCTCCCCGCAGGAGGCAGCGCGCTGGCCGAGGGGCCTCAGCTCCCGCAGCCAGCGGCACCCAGTCCACGGCCTCACGCTGGGAAGTCCGGGAGCCATGCACCAGGACACGCGTGATCACGCAGATGGGCACTCAGTGGAAACCAAAGACTCTCTCGCGGTAGGCTCAGGGGTGAAAGTGGGTGACAAGCAGCACGTATCGGAAGGTCCCATTTCTACGATTCTAAATGCACCGCAGACTCTCTCACGCTCAGACACACGGCACAAACTGCGCTTTAAAAGGTCAGGGACGAGAGGGCCAGTGGGGACTGGAGTACAAAGGGCTGCAAAACTCCTGAGAGTTAAAAGCCCTGAACCGCTCACCTTCATCTGCTTCCAAAGGCTGCCCCGCCATCTGCTGGCCGAGCCCCGTCTCCACGCCGGCGGGCGGCCCCAGGTCCAGCACGGCCCCGGGGTTGTCGGCCACGGCCTCAGCGGTCGGCTGCAGTGCGGCGTTCTCAATCTCCACCTGCACCTGGGTGGGCACGTGCATGCCCTGCTGGTCCACAGCGCCGTCATCTATCGGGCAGGCCTGCTGGTGCTGCCGGAGCTGCTGGGCAAGCTCAAATCTTCAAAAAATGGACAACAGTCCGCAGCGTCAGCTGCTGTCAAACACCGCGGGCACGCGAGGTGTGATTTATTCAGTGACAGTTTTCATTTTAAACTGTTTCACTTTGAAGTCGCGGCGGCAATCCAGTTGAGAGTTAAACACTACAAATAATCTGAAAGAAAACCCCCGTGCCCTCATCTCTAAGTGCTTTCACAGACCATAGGGGCCGGAAGGCAACAAGGATTTTTCAAAATCTGAACGATACAAAAGATCCCATGTTTCAAAGCTAAACTCTCCCAATTCAAATTCTGTGATGAGCTGAGGTGTTCAAAACAAGAACTGCATGAGATGAGGCAGCGTCTTGACAGACTGCTTTCAGTGTTACACACACACGTGGGAGAGACGGGACCATCGTGCAACCTGCCAGGCCGTGTGCGGCTCACTGACCAGTGGGCCACAGGCGGCAGAACCTGGACCACGAGGCATGTGGCTGCGATGGTTTTCTGCAAAATCATTATTCCTGTTAATATTACTTTTATGTGTACAAAGCATACCTGGCATATTATCATCAAGGCCAACAATTTCTCTTTCAAAGAGAAAAATGAACAATGAATTCAGTGAATGAACAAAAACACTGGGGAAAAAACAAACAAAAACCCAGGTCAAACAATGATCTGATTAACAGGCTGTACAGTATCTCAGCCATGAAGGGGCTACTCCAGTCAGACTCACACAAGCTCTACCGGACGCTGGATGCCAGAATCACGTGAATCTGCTGATTCAGAATTCCATTCTGAGTTCCAAACAAAGTCTTTCCTCTTCATTTTCTGATATCAAAAACAGTCACTTGGGCTTCCCTGGGGGCGCAGTGGTTGAGAGTCCGCCTGCCGATGCAGGGGACACGGGTTCGTGCCCCGGTCCGGGAAGATCCCACATGCCGCGGACCGGCTGGGCCCGTGAGCCATGGCCGCTGAGCCTGCGCGTCCGGAGCCTCTGCTCCGCAACGGGAGAGGCCACAGCAGTGAGAGGCCCGCGTACCGCAAAAAAAAAAAAAAAGTCACTTCTCGACTACTTTTACTGAGGGGGGGGAACAAAAATGTACTGAAAAGCAGCAAAGGAAAGAACACGCACTGTCACACCTCCACCACAGGGTGACTGTACAGCGGTGCCGTGGGTTCACGGGGTCCTCTCCACCACCCTGAAGGAGAGGAACTGTGCCCTCTGTTGTGACTGGTGGAGCCTTGTTTTCTGTTTGTTTGCCTGGGTGTTTTCACAACTCTTACTACAGCGACTTTTTATTTTTAATGTAAGTGTATATGGCATTTTAGGAATTCCCAAGACTTCAAACAAAGGGATCAAACGACTGGAGCTGCTGCCTGCTCGCAGGCAGGTTCACAGTACACGCCATCTATAAGATAAACCCCCAACTCTGCAATGACAGACCTACCCGTCCTTACGCTGCCACCTGAAAGTCACGCACACTCTCCCCTGGCGTAAGCATGGCACGTGTCCCTCAGCGGAACCCTGGACAAGCAGTGGCCAAAGCAACACTCCACGGACAGAAATGACCCGGCTAAGAACAGCTGACCCTCTTCCCAGAAATTACAGCACTGGCCTCTGAGCCTGTAAACTGAACTCCCAACACCACCACAAAAGCACACTGTGAAGGCCGGGCGTCTTGCAGAGAGGCGTCATTCACCATGCTCTGCGCAAGCTGTGACCGCGCCCCATTTCTCTTGGCAGGGGGGCAGCAGTGCACGCTCTGAGCGTCTCCGCCCCCATGAACTCCCCAGCCCCTGAATGCGTGTGAAGCACAGAGCTTCCTCCATAAAATGCAGCCAAGTATAACTGGACATATAATTGGCAAGAGTCCCCTAACTGACACCACCAATCTCACATTCCCTAGATGGTCTCGAGAAGCACTTGAACTCCTCGGCTACGCGATCAGCCGTACCAAAGTCGAGGAGAGTCAATTCTGTCAAGTGTGCTTCGGCAGCCAGAGGGATGAAACCAGAACACCATTTCTCCGAGTTACCTTATTCTATCAGTTGGGAGTTCTGTTTGGTAGGTAATACCTGGACAGAGACATCCGGGTTAAAATATGGCTCAAAGGTAAACATTCTAGGGCAGAAGGCTAATATTCTTTCCTGGTAAGCCTGGTAACTCTTGTTCTCAAAGTCTCCTAGGAGGTGGTCGTGGTCATCTTGTCCATGCTTTCCGTTACAATACAGAATTCTGTGGCTTCACAGAAGCACCACTGAATAAGCTCCAGACACAGTGAGAAATGCATCTCTGTAAGGGCTCGTTGGGTCCCCTCCATTTACAGATGAGGCAGCCCTCTAAGCAAGCAAAAATCTAAGTTAGGGCTTCCCTGGTGGCGCAGTGGTTGAGAGTCTGCCTGCCGATGCAGGGGACATGGGTTCGTGCCCCGGTCCGGGAAGATCCCACATGCCGCGGAGCGGCTGGGCCCGTGAGCCATGGCCGCTGAGCCTGCGCGTCCGGAGCCTGTGCTCCGCAGCGGGAGGGGCCACAACAGTGAGAGGCCCGCGTACCGCAAAAAAAAAAAAAAATCTAAGTTAGCTTTAATGATGGATTTATGTGTTAGCTAAAACATATTTTTTTTCTGTCAACAACCTACAATAATTACCATTCAGATAACACTAATGATATGCCTAGAGGGCCCAGAGTTGACCAAGATTTTCTTTTTTGAAACCTTCATTACCTCATTATAGTAGACACTGTCTATCTAGCATTTTATCTACTACTGATTATTAGTTTTAAGAGAGTTTAGAAAGCATTTAGGCCAACACTGACTACTTCAACACTACATTAAAAATAAAAATGATGTGCTTCAGTCTATGGTTCTCAATAGGTCATTAAACATTGATACAGAAGTTTCTTTAGCTCATACACCTCCTGCTAGAAGTAATAATAAAGGGAACAAAGACAACTATTTCTTCAAAACGCTCCCCACCATCATCTGGGAATTGTAAGGACTGTTAAAAAGTGACCATCAGAATTATACCTACCTATGGGTTTTCATGTGCTTTTTGCAATTTAGTGAGGTCTTAAATGTTTTCTGGCAATAGGGACACATATAGGGACGAAGGTCGTTATGGATGCCCATATGTCGCCGTAAGCTACCACCAGTAGTGAAAGCTCCATTACATATCAGACACTTGAAAGATTTAAGTCCAGTGTGCGTTCGGACGTGTGCTTTGAGCACTCCTGCAGAAACAAAGCCTCTTCCACACTGAGAACATTTAAAAGGCTTTTCACCTGTATGTGATCTAAAAAGAATAAAAATGGTAATGAATAAAGCGTCTTACGCTTTCACGCTGCTTTCTAATTTAGAACGCACTCTAGTAATTATCTCACTTGGCCACCCCTTTTCTGAGCTCAGCAGCAGAGAGACTCAGCTCTCACGTCCCCACAACGGGACCTGAGATTCAGCACTCAGGTGGCTCATCTGAAGTCCGGGGCTCGCATACAACCGACACAAAACCAGACCCCACATCCTCTTCTACGTTCTGTCCTCTTCTCATGACCCCTCACTGTCTCTTGTGATCAGGTTTCTATCAATACTTCCTCTTCACTGTTGCTAGCACCAGGAATTAACCTGATGAATACACCCGAGAAACTGTGAAAGAGCATGATCCTCATGAAACAAACCAAATATTTCTCTGACATGTCCCAGAGATTGCAAATACTGAAATATAATAGGAGTGAAATATAATAGGCGGTTTGTGGGTAAAACATTTTGGTCAAGACACTGAAGAATGAAAATATCAATTATCAGTAAATACTTTGGGGTCAAAAGTGACATTTTAAATAACAAAAGCTAACACTACCATTCTTAGTATTTCCACAAGTCACCAGATCACTGAATCACTGTAACTATAAATTTCCATCTCTGAATCTACATTACCTTACCTGATGTGTTGTTTAAGATGGCAAGATTTTTTATAGGCACGATGACAGTAAAAACACTTGTACGGTCTATCTGCTTCATTTACAAAATTATTATTAAAATAACTTTGAAAAAGCTGGTTTCTTGGAATGGGCTGGATAAGACCTACAAACCAAAAGAAAATCAAGAATAATTCACTGTCAGTGCTACTAAGAAATGTCAAAAGGCACCTGCTTTACCCAGAAGATAAACATCCCGAGGAGCCAGATTCCAGTGTCGCGACTAATCGCTACGTTAACTGTGTTAGGGACTCGCTATTTAAAGCACACCTATCAGGAAACACTTAAGAGAGTTAATATGAGATAGATATTCTTTTCGACATAAGGAACATTTATATTGTCACAATTACTTCTCCTTGTTCTAGAGCCAATTTTTCATAGATTTCTACATTTAACTTTCTATATGAGCATCTGTTGGCATGCAATTTATATAAGTACATCAACATGCAGGTTAATCAGAGTTTTTAAGTCCCTTATTTGTTCAGTATGAAGACTGTACCCTAGGTACTATAACAAACTCAGACAGAAATGATTCCAACATGACCTTTTGTTCTAAGAAAGTCAGGGTTTTCATAGAAATTTTATTAAAAGAAAATCTGTAAACAGCAAAATTACAACCTTAAATATTTCAGGTTTACATACTTTCAGTGAATAAAGAATGCCCTTAGGTTGACCGTGTAATAAGTATGTCTTGATCAAGCAACTGAATTATTTATGAAATTCAGAACAAACATACACCTGAACCCTCTGAATCACTTAATGTTTACCTGGAACGAGAGGAAGACGTACACTGTCAGTTCTACCTGGGCTGTTTGCTCCTCCTCTCTCCCAGACAGTGCAGCTATCAGCCAAGACTCTGGACTGGCCACACTCCCTGCTCCCTCAGCTGTGCCACTCACTTCCATGCGATGATTACCAACAGGCACCTCCTAACACACTGCTGTCCAGACTGTCCCTAACGGTGCGGGTTACAGCTCAATCCTGTCCCCTAAAACCTGCTTGTTCCTCCCAGCTCTCCTAGTTGTACGTAAGGAACCCCATCTGCCTAGTCATGCGGGGGCCGGGGATTCCAGACTTCTGGAGCTGCTCGTCAAGTTTGCCATTTGCCAGTCCTGGAGATCCCACTTTTCCAGTGTTCTTAAACTTGTTTCCTCGTTTCTATTTCCACTGCTATTTCTATTTCGCTTCGCTCGCGTGTGAGACTTAACTGAATGGACCCGCACTTCCTGATGCTGCATGAGAGCTCATTTACTTTTCAAAGAGAATTCAGAACCTCCCTCGTGGGACTTCCCTGGTGGTCCAGTGGTTAAGACTCTGCCCTCCCAAGGCAGGGGGCACAGGTTTGATCCCGGTTAGGGAGTTAAGATCCCACATGCTGTGTGACACGGCCAAAAAATAAAAAAATTAAAAAAAATAACAGAACCTCCCTTGTGACTGATGTGTGTACAACCCACAGGGCACACACTCGAAGAGCTGCCAAACCTTCTCCCATTTCACAGGGATTCAGGACTGGGGAGACGCATGGGGACCACACAAAGCCCTGTCCTCCTGGCAGCTCCAGCATCGCTCTACCCTTCACGGCATCGCCCTGCTTTTTCCCAACGACTCCTCTCTCGCGCTCAAGAAGAGAAAACTTCAGTCCCTCAGTCCACCCCACCACCTTCCCCAGGACACATGCGCTAAGTCTGCTGCAGACAGGCTGACACGCCTGGCGCTCAGAGGCAAGATGGCCGTCCAAGGGCCGATTCCCAAACCCAGACGCACGTTCACTCTTCTGCGTGGCTCTGTGTCAGACACGCACCTAGACCAGCCTCCTGAATGTTCTGCTCTGCCTTCTCGTGTCACCAGCAGAAGAATGTCCCTGGCACAGCGCGCCGGGACCCGAACAGCAATTTGCTCAACCACCTCCCGTGGTCTGCCACCGAGAACGGGGCCACCGCGACCACCAGGCCCGGCCTCCTGGCCCCGGTCCCCACCTCTCTCCACACCCACCGCCGGCTTCTCCCCAGGCAGCTCCGTGCTGCGATTCTTAGCGAGCCTCACTGTCCCACCTCCACACGTTGACTCACTTCTGTCCCAGCACTTGTCACTGCTGGTTCTGTTTTCTCTTTCCCCACTCCCTGGGCTACAGCTTCTGGAGCCTGGGGCCTGCCCCATGGTCATAGATGTAGCCCTGAGCCAAAGAGCACTGGCCAGGTAGGACACGTAGATACGATCGAATATACTAATGATCCTGTTCTCAGTGTTTACAAAATCAGAGAAGGAAAGGAAGGAAAGAAGCACGCACAAATTCCAACCAAGGTCGTTGATTCCCGGTCTGACACTCAACCTTTACTGGACACCTACTTTCAGGGAATCATGTTAGATTCTATGAAGAGAACAGAAAACTGAAGTGAGTATTTTCCAAACTGGCAGCCAAAAAGGGTGGCTCCTCTGGTCACTGCGAAGCTTGTGAAACTGTGAACCTCAAATGCTCTGCAAGGAAGGTCCACAGGCAACACATAATAGCAGCTGTTACGCACAGTTCCCCAGTATCTTATGCAAACAGGTTCAGTAACTATTAGCATAAAGTACCACTTAATTAAAACTGTAGCTCCAAGTAATATCTGATAAGCCATTTTCTTGTTCATTGCTGAACTTAACGGAATGAGTGATTTCTAAGAAAAACACCAATAAAAAAATTTAAAACTCTCCTCCCACAATTAAATTGGGCTGTACAAACGTGAGACATTAATTTTATAGACTTCATCAGACAAGATATACATTAAAAAGCAACACAGGAAAGTGAAATAATTTTAAGCAATTAGTTATATAAATTGTATAAATTCGTGAAAGTACGTAAAGTAAATGAAATTCACAAGGTAATTTTTAAAAAGTAAAAAGCCCTCCTATAGTCATCTTGTATCTGTTTCATAGGGAAAAAAATAAGATATTCACGAATAAGGAAACAAAGTATTGCTTTTGCCATTTCCCACATCAAAAAAAAAAAAGCCGTACTGGGTGCTGGGGGCAGGGCTGTGCAGGGGTTCACTGCCTCCCAGTCAGACCTGAGGTCAGTCAGCAAAGCGGGGTTCCGGGTGAGCACCTCCCTAGCCTGCAGTGCAGACACAAGCTCATCAGACGGCAGAGCCGGGCTGCACCCCTAAGGCTCCAGGCTGCACCCGATTCAGCACCTTCAGAGAGCTCGCCACCCGTCTGCCGCGGCAGGCCCTGACTTCCAGCCTGCACGGAAGCAGCCTGACGCCAGAACCTACCGGGAGACTCCAGACGGGCTGTCTGCGCCAGGCCTTGAAGCTGTGAGCCCTGTAAGGCCCACAGACCATCCTCCTCTCCAAGTCACCCCCATTCTGGTGCAGGGTCCCCCCTCCAGCCCCACTGTTCTCCCAGCTCTTTCTCCTGTGGCTTCTGGAACCTACGTTCCACAGCAAACAAGTTCTCCATCATAAACAGGTCCCATAAACAGAATGTTCAGTTACTCCTTTCTTTTCCGAAACAGCAGGTCTGTGGTCAAGCGGCTGGCCTGGACGCTCCGGCTCCTAAGGCCCCCTCCGAGCCTGAGGAGCTCGAGCCTCCTGTCCCGGCCCAGCTCCGCCTCCCAGCCTGCCTTCGCTTCCTCCCCAGTCCCACCTGCCCTCCACGAACCGAATCCCTTTACCCAGTCCCTTGCCAATACGCTCTTGTGCAAGTCCTCTGGCCCTTTCTCAAATAATTCACCAGATCGTAAAAAGAAAAACAAAAGAATGTGCCCAGTAACACCCCTCAGAGACAACCACAGTGAACGGTTTAGTAGCCACTCTAACAGAAGAGTTTGTAATGTGAAAACATAAGTGGGATCAACCATACACACTGTTCTGGAACTACCTGTCCATACTTCATACATATACTTAACTCTCCAAGTCATTACATATGACATCATCCCCATCACCCTTTGGATGCTGGCAAGGAATTCCACCGTACCAGTGTACCCAGTTCCCTTAATGCACTTCTGGCGGACATCCTGCCTGTTTCTAACTGTACACTACTGCAGGGCTGCAATAAACAATCCAGTATATACAACTGTTACCTTAGTGTCTCCCCGCTAGACACACAATTATAGTCTCTGGGCAGCATCCAGGTATATTTATTTTTAAACAGAACCCCAGATGATTCTGACATCTTTGGGGGGGAGGGGAGGAGTCCCACCTTGAGCTCCTCAGAAAGTGAAATAACAGGCTTCATTTTTCTGATGCTTTATTTTTCACGTCTAATAATTTTACAAAGTTCTGTTAAAAAGCTAAGCTAGGGCTTCCCTGGTGGCACAGTGGTTGAGAGTCCGCCTGCCGATGCAGGGCACACGGGTTCGTGCCCTGGTCTGGGAAAATCCCACATGCCGCGGAGTGGCTGGGCCCGTGAGCCATGGCTGCTTAGCCTGTGCGTCCAGAGCCTGTGCTCCGCAACGGGAGAGGCCACAACAGTGAGAGGCCCGCGTACCGCAAAAAAAAAAAAGCAAGATAAATGCACTAATATCAATATGATTAAAACATGGAAGATCAATCACTACAGCGCTGAGGTTTAAAATAATAGATAACCAGGGACTTCCCTGGTGGTGCAGTGGTCAAGGCTCTGCACTCCCAACGCAGTGGGCCCAGGCTTCGATCCCTGGTCAGGGAACTAGATCCTGCATGTCGCAACTAAGAGATTGCATGCCGCAACTAAGGAGCTGGCGAGCTGCAACTAAGGAGTCCATGAGCCACAGCTAAGGAGCCCGCCCGCTGCAACTAAGACCCTGTGCGACCAAATAAGTAAATAATTAACTAATTAATTAATTAATTAAAAACAAAACAAAGCCCCACTTTTAATTTAAAATAAATAAATTTAAAAAATAATAGATAACCAAAGCCTGGCTCACTTCGAAGAAAATATTTTTCAAACATCTATGCTCCACAAAAATGGTGGGAGCATACACCATTACACAAACTCACACATACGCACAGTCATATATAGAAAACACAGTGATTTCTTTAAAAAAAAATAGATATGTCGTATACACATATGATTTGAAAATCCAGAAGCAGCTACAGATCAAAATATTACGATCACCCTGACTCCAATACTTCCCCAGTCTGCACACTGTTTTATTTAAACTTAGTTCTTGAATTTAGAAGAGAAAGCATTTAGAGTACAGTACACCGCATGTCTAGTGAAAACAGCCCCAAGTGCAATGAACTACACGGTATCTGTGTTCAGTAAAGACTAGTGGTGCTCGATGCCAAGATCCAGTGGCCATCTGGGCCCCTGGCGGCTCCTCCACACTCCTGCGCCGGGGGCGCAAGGCTGACGGGTGTGGGAGGAAGTGAGCTTTACTGACCACACCCTGATCCAGAAGTCTGAAGACCCAGGTTCTAGTTCTACCATGAGCTCTAGTTGTAGAACCTAAAAGCAATGTTAGAACCCTCTCTAGGGCCCACATTTTACATCTGTGAAAATGAAGAGTGAGGAATGTAGGCAAGTTTGGGAAAGACTATTTTTAAGTTCCCATGCAGCTCTGGAAGTTTTTAGAATTACACAACTATATGGAACTGTTCTATCCAACAATGCTCCCTTAATATGCAGAGATTAAGTTACTTACTGGAGTATTTTTTTGTGCATTCTAATACTTTCCTAAGCGACAGTAATTAGTGTAAAAGGTATTGAGCTTCAAGTAACTAGACTGGACTGGAACATCTCATCTCCCAGTTAAGTCAAATAACTGTAACTAATCTATGCTAAACCCTCTCTGGCATGTTTTTATCAAGATCTGTCCCCCAAACATAATTACAGTCACACTTTTTCTACATACGCCCCAAGGAGCTCAGATTCTGAGAGAAGAGACAGACACAAATACAAATAATGACGAAGTGTAAAATAAGTATTTAAATATTTTACAATGTGAAGCCAGCTCTATGAATCACTTCCCCCATGTGTCCCACTCAGCCTAGAACAAAGGAGAATTCTGCTTCCACTAATTTCGTCTAAGATACAGGTGTCTGTGAAGCTAAAAGCACAATGTTCTCCATTTTAACCTCGGAAAGTCTGGAGAATCAGGGCTCCAGTTCAACTCAACTAAGGATTTGTAAACTTAACGGCAAGAAACCCACAGGTGTGTAACCTGAGTCATGGCAACCTGAAAAAACTGGTAATTTGAGGGTTGCCCTCAAGCATGAAGGATAATTCTAGGGCTGCTAAGTACGTTTTTAGTCTGTCCTAACTTTTAGAGATCTTTTTGCATTTCAAGAATAACACAGATCACTGGGAACCTAGAGACCACAGCGAGGTTAAATGCACGTTGGGGGCTGGCCTGCTGCTTTGTTTTGTGAGCTGCTACAACCGCACAAGGACGCCAGAGTGTTCCAACCGACCGTGGGAGCTCCGATCAGCGTCTAAACAGTTGAACACCCTGAGAATTACAGTTCCTAGGAAGCTTAGCAGAAATCATACGTGAAATCATTGCAGGCTGGTATTTGGGGAGTGTGCTCTTAAACTTGTCGTCTCTTGGGGGTTTTCCATTTCTTCTAGAGTCAGTTCTGATAAGCACGTTATTCTAGAAAAAATCCACTTCATCTAAATTTTCAAGTGTATTAGCAAAATGTTGTAGAGTATCTGCAAACAACTTTTATCTCATCTGTATCTGTGCTTACAGCTTGACTCTCATTCCTAATATTACAGATATTTTCTTGGTCTTTCGTTTACTAGAGACGTGTCAAGCTATCTATTCTACTGTTAACTTTTTAAAAATTGTAAAATTATGTTCACTAGAATTTTGTCTTCTATCTTAAATTATTGTACTTATTAATTACTTTTTGCTACTTGCTTTTTTATTTTTCTACTTTTTTGAGTTATATATTTTATTTATTTTTGTTCTTATTTTTTAGTAAGGAATACTTCTTAAAAGCTGTTATCAGTCTTTTCTGATAACAGCTTTGGTCCATCCCACTGTTTATAAAAACGTTCCCATTTCTAGGATGTAATTGCAGTTTTGAGTCTTACTTTTCCATAGAATGAAACTTTAGATAGCTACTTTCTATTAATTTATGTTTTCAGTGAACTGTAATCAAAGACTGTATCCTTCACAGTACCTATTTCTGAAAACCTGAAACTTCTCTATACCCTAGAATGTGATCAACTTCTATTTCATGCATATTTAAAAGAGTGTGTACTTTGGAGTAGAAGGCTTTAAAGCCATTCAATCACCCTTTTGATATGTGCGCTTCAAATCCTCCTCAGTCTCACTGTGTTTACACCAATCTAATTGAGGGTCTCTCACTCTGGTTCAGAATTTGAATATCTCTCCTTTCTTCTGTTTTTGGTTTATATATTTTGATGCTATGCTCCTAGATACATAAGGGCTCGTGACTATAGATCACCTTATTAGTGGACTATAGCTGACATTAGTCTACAGTATCTCTCTTTTTTTTACCATTTAAGCTTTATTTATATTAAATTATGTTTTACTTGATATTAATTTTGTTCACAGACTAGCTTATCTCACCTAAGACGATGAAATACAGGAGAACTGCATAAACATGTAAATTCTTGCACAAAACTTAATGAGTTTCCTTTAATCTTGTTTTAGGACCTACAAAAATCATTTCTCTGAAGATTCTCATGAACAGTGTTTTCTTTTTAGTTAGCTAACAAAATCATAATTTACCTTGATCATAACAACACCAAGCCTAAAAAGAACTTAAAAGCTGGCAGATTTACCTTTTAATCCAAAGGTTAAAGCAGCCCAGATAATGATCTGTTACACAGACTGTGGGGCTTCTAAGATGTAAATGACACAGCATACTGTGTGCCCCACTCAGGACACCCATCCACCCCACAGGTCCACTGAGGTACAGTCTTCCTTGGTGAGGACTCACATATGAACATCTTCACTTACACAGCACTTCCCTCTTACCGAGAACATAACCTGAGCAGCAGTTGAGCCAGAACTAGGATCTTAATTTAATTGTGAAACTTCCTGGCCCATAAAGCAAAACAATCCTTAACAACAACTCCACCGGCACCACACATACAACTATCTAACTACGCAGACCATAATGTTCATACACCCTTTGCAAAGTACCAAGGGAGGACAATCTTACCTACGTCTGTTATGAGGATCGGCTCCTGCAAAGGAATATCGGGGACCGGAACGTTCGCCTTGCCAACACGAACTTTTGCAGGTTTACGCTGGTGCCTCATCTTTCTTAACTCCGTGTGTTTAAAGTGAGAAGCAATGTGAGTCTTCCTGTGGCCTGAGGTTCGAAATTTCTTGTCACAGTGAGGACAAGCAAAAGGTCTGACTCCTGATAAAAAATAAAATAGACTGTAGAATTATTCCAAAGAGATACATCTCAGTTAACGCCAACATAAAATTCTAGTATTTTAATACTGATCTGAATTCTCAATTTGTTGTTTCATGCCATATGTTTATAATTTCATGGACATTATAAATTAACAGGTATTCTCGTTTGCATACAGTGCACGTTACAGATGTTAAGGCATGTAATAAGAGCATTTTAAGTAAAAAAAAAAAAAAAGGGCATTTACTATTTTCAGGAGAAAGCCTAAAATTGTAAAATGGATGTTCAAACAACTAGTAGTCCTTAAGACACTAACGTGAGTAAGGCTGCTCTCCTCTCTCAAATCATCCTCTCTGTAACTGGAATAACAACGGGGCCCCAGGTTTGCTGCTGGGATTCTACACACTTGTGTTTGAAGAGCACTTAGCAGTGCCCAGCATTGGGTAAACGAGCAGTAAATGGTGGCTGTTTGTAAATAACAACGTCACTGCTGCTGCTGATGACAGTGATAACATCCTTTTAACAATCCTCTGCTATGACTTCCCTTTTCTGAAGGAAACTTCCTTTTCTTACAATTTTATTGGCAAATGAAAATGCAGATTCCAAAGAAAGGCATATATCAAAACAGTCTCATTTCAGCTTTTTCAAATACCCATCCACATGCTCAGCTCAGCCCAGGAACCTCAAAGGGTTAGGAGAAGTTACTGCTAATGCGTACAGCGTTTCTTTTGGGGGTGATAAAAATGTTAGAAAATTAGATAGTGGCATGGGTTGCACAATTCTGAAATGCATACTTTAAAAGAGTGAATTTTTATGATTTGTGAATTATATCTCAATAAAACTGCTATGAACAGAACTGGAGCCTGAACATGGAAGTTCTCGTGCCCTAATACTGATGACAAAATATCCGACAGGCAGAGTGGGTATTGATATTAAGGTCCCAGCCTGAAGGGCGCCAGCTGAAACCCAGAGGCCCCACGGGGGCGATGCCGGCCTCCTCCTCGGGAAGGCCCTCCTGGGCTGCATCTGAATCCCGTCACCCACAGCGGTCTCCCCTCCTCACTCCCTGCACTCCTGCCCTCACTCGTAAGTGGTACAGTTTAACGCTCCCTCTTCGGGCCATCGGCTCCATGAGGACCAAGGTCACGTGGACTTTGTTCAACAGCGTGTGCCGTGTGCCCAGCCCGCAGAAGGTCACGGTCACACTCGCTGAAATAAAGAGCAACGGGCGCTCCACACGCCCAGCCACCAGCGCAGACCCCGCCGGGAACCACCTGCGGCGGCAGGCCCGTACCTGTGTGCAGGCGAACGTGCACCTTGAGGCTCCCCGAGGTGGAGAAGCTCTTCATGCAGCACTGGCACTTGAACGCCTTGACGCCCGAGTGCGTTTTGACGTGGGCTGTCAGCGTGCTCTTCACGGCGAAAGCCCGGAAGCACTGCGGGCACTTGAAGGGCTTCTCATGGGTGTGGATGCGGATGTGGCGCACCAGGTCGCTGGGCTTGCGGAACTCCTTGGTGCAGTAGGGACACACGTGCCATCGCACACCGTTCTCCTCGCGGATCGACCCTGGAGGAAGATTACAACGAGAAGCGTCCAGCTTGGCCTCGGAACCGCGTCTCCCCAATTACTCGTGTCCTTCCAGGCTTAGACTTAGACAGCACGTCATGCCTGTACAAAGCTGTGGGCCTTTTGCCACCGCAGAGGGCATATGATCAACGGTGGAAAAGCTGAAATTTCCATAACAACTGAAATGACTGATGACTATGACTGAATCTTGCAGAAAATCCTAACAGTCCCATATGAACACAAATCATAGCCTAAGAGAGGTAAGAACGCTAACTAGACAGGTACTAGGATATAAATCAAGAATCAGCAGGGCAGACTTAGTCTGCTATAAGTGTAAGTAACAGTAGGTGTGATCAAATGACTCCAAAATTAACTCAAAGAACATGAAAAGAAGGAATGAACTTACAATAAGTATCGTCTGAGCTGATCTGTTATCACTAATAAAAAATGCAAATAAAAATGAGGAAATGGTAAATTCTTATGCCACAGAAAGGAACTGATAAATAGTTAAAGAAATAACATATTTGATCATGAATGAGTTCATGATTTATGATCAAATATAGAAGATTCTTTTGCAACGCTAAATATTGCATTTGGCCAAAAAGTGCCTTTGGTTTTTAAGTAAAAATAAAAGATGCATTTTTCATTTTCACCAAGAACTTTACTGAACAATGTATTCACCCTTTTGTTCCACTACCTTCTGCCATTTCATAATTCCATCTTCCCAAAACTTCTTATCTTTTTGAGCAAAGAACTGTTGCAGGTGCCTTTTACAATCTTCCAGGGAATTAAACTGTTTTCCATTAAGAGAATTTTGTAAAGACCAAAATAAATGGAAACCTGAAGGTGCAATGTCTGGTGAATATGGCGGATGAATCAGAACTTCCCAGCCAAGCTGTGACAGTTTTTGCCTGGTCATCAAATGAATATGCGGTCTTGTGTTATCCTGATGGAAGACTATGCGTTCTCTGTTGACTAGTCCTGGACGCTTTTCATCGAGTGCTGCTTTCAGTTGGTCTAAATGGGAGAGTACTTGTTGGAACTGTTTGGTTTTCCAGAAGGAGCTCATGATAGAGGCCTCCCTTCCAATCCCACCATATACACAACATCACCTTTTTTGGATGAAGACCTGCCTTTGGTGTGGTCAGTGGTGGTTCATTTCACTTGCCCCGTGATCTCTTCCGTTCCACATTATTGTACAGTATCCACTTGCCATCGCCCGTCACAGTTTATTTTAAAAACGGAAGGTTTTCTCTTCATTACGTTTAAGTAGAGAATCGCATGTGGAAATGCGGTCAAGGTTTTTTTCGCTTCACTCATGTAGAACCCAAACATCAAAGCGATGAACACAGCCAAGCTGGTGCAGATGATTTTCAGCACCTGATCTGGATACCTGGAGTGTGTCGGCCGTCTCCCGCATGGCATAGCGTTGACTGCTCTCAATTAATGTCTCGATTTGATCACTATCAACTTCAAGTAGTCTACCCGACCACGGCGCATCGTCCAGCGAGAAATCTCCAGCACGAACCTTCACAGGCCACGAACCTTCACAGACCACTTTTGACACGTTCGATCAGCCACAGCACCTTCTCCATACACTGCACACATCTTTTCTTGTGTTTCGGTTGCGTTTTTACCTTTCTTGAAATAATAAAGCGTAATATGCTGAAAATGTTGCTTTTTTTCTTCTCTTCAATATTAAAATGGCTACACAAAAACTCACCAGTTAAGTCTTTTTTTAAATGCACGCTGATAGGACAGCTGTCACATACAATCTAACAAAATTGCTTCGAATGAGTTAAAGACAACTAAGTGCTACTAGACCCATCTTACGGAAAATACCAAACAAACATTTTGGCCAACCCCATACTGTTATTCAACCTTGATCCAGGTTTGAAGCTATTCCTCTCAGAAGAAAAATCACAAGTGGAATTTATGGAAATATAATTAGTAAAATAATACCTAAATTGGCAAATTTCTAATTTGGCAGAATCAGCTTTTTAAATTTCAATTAGATGTATTCGCCAGAAATTAAACAGACACCTACAATAAGGTAAGGAATACACTTGAAATCAAAGAGATTTGGGCCCTGCTGATGAAATTCATCAGAAAATTTTCACTCTTTATTTAACTGTGTCTTTACAGACATAGTTTTATTAGGGAAAAGGAAAGCTCTTTGTTTCCTTCTCTTTGTTATCAGTCGATACAAGGAATTTTCCTTACGTGTTAGTGAATCTGTAAGGAGAGAAAATGTATTTTCCTGAATATAACACTTTTTATGGGACTAATTAACATAGAGAAAGAGGTTAGGTAAAAGAATGAAAAGTAATATTTTTCTAAAAACAAGAACAAAGAGAGGAACATACACACACCACGGCGGGTGGGGGGTAAAGAGTAGAAAACAAAGGAAATGGTTTTTAAAGTGAGAGAAAGATATTTATTTTAGGTGAAACTGCTTATACTAAGGAAGTCTAAAACTTAAGATTGCTTAAAACTAATAGGTATTAGAAGAAGTGCAATAATTACCTAAAGGTCTTATCATGACAAATCAGAAAAACAACGTACAAAGAGATAAGACAGAACCATAATATCTGTCAGTTAAAATCTGGAAATCATCTCCCCAAATCAGATTTTTTTTCCAAACAAAAATGAAAATATGTCTTTAATTACATAAGACGACATAAAACTGCCACCAGGTTCTAATTATTTCTGGGAATGAACTGGAAGAGAGATACAAACTGGCAGCTGAAGCTTCAAACCTGAAGCTGTCTCCAAATCTGGCCTGTATACGTTTTGTTTGGCCCAGGCAGTGTTAGAAAAAGAAAACTGAATCCAGATTTCTGACCCTTTGACAAACTGAGTGATCTGGAAAACCAGTTCTGCATTCCCACGTGGCAATCTTTCTTGGTGCTGGGCAATAGCTTTTCTCTTCAAACACATTAATAAATTTTGAAAGAAAAAACATGCATAATCATCTTCAAGACGAAAAGGTATTTACTAAAATGCAACGTCTAGTTTTAAGTTTTAAAAAACTGCCTAAAAACAGGAGGAGGTGAATAAAACATATCAATACAACATGTGACTTGACAGGAAAATACTAAAAGCAATCCTATTAAGGTGAGGAAAGAGTCCACTATCACACTGCCATTAATTTATCATGTTTGAGAGATACCAGCCAACATGACTAGATAAGATAAAGAAATGCACAGTAATAACTATAAAGGAAAAGGTAAAATCATTGTTTACAAATGATATGATTATACACCTAAAAAACTAAAACTCAGAAAGAGGCCCACATTTTAATACGTGAAAATCAACATCCTTCATACCTACCAACAAAATCCAGAAGAAGATTTTAAAATACTACTAAAATATGGATAAAAAAAAAATCTGAGTAAATGGAAATGCATACATACCCTATTCTTTTTTCTTAAGTTATTCTTTTTATTGAATGAAAGATTCTTTAAGTTCTATAGTGCTTTACAATTTTCAAAAGTTTCACACACATGATTTCATATAATCCCCTATTAACCCTATTCTTTGGTATAAAGACAAAAATTTATAATGGCATCCATTCTCTCTGATTAAATCACTTGTATACAAATCCCAATAGGGATTCTGTTAGAACTAGTTTCGGAAGTTTAGCGGTCACTTTTAAAGTACATATGAAAATATAAATATGTGAAAACAGTAAAAAATACACTTTAAAGAAAAGTGTAGTGAGAGAGGACTAGGTATCCTAGTTATAAAACACATGATAAAGCTAAAACCATTTGGTATCACAACACATGAATAAAAAGACAGATTACTGGAATAAAGTCCAGAAAAGACCCATACAGGTTTGAGAGTGTAATACATGATAAAGGCAGCATTGCTTTCCAGCAGGAAAAATGTGACTTATTCAATAAATGGTGTCTAGGCAGCTGGATGCCCATCTGGAAACAAAAAATAAAACTGAGTCAAAGATTTGGTTTAAAATATGAGAGTAAACAGATAGTAACTGGACATATCATGGTGATCATTTTGTAATGATGTATAAAAAAATGAAAGTATAAGTGTTAGATAAAAGAGGCACTTTTTCCATAATATCAGTGTTGAATTCTAAGTATTACATGAGTCCAAAAGTCATAAAACACTGACAAATTTGGCTACATAAAAACATTTCTCCCCCTTTTGCTATATAAAAAGAAAATACCTCTCCCTTTTAACTCAAAAGCCAAACAAATTAGAAAAGAATACATGCCACAGATACAGCTCACAAAATACTACTAGGTAAAGAGAAAACGAATGCAGCAGAGCATTTAGCACTTGGAGGATCTAGATGAAGGCAAAAGGCAATTCTCCGTATTTACTGTTCCTGCAATATTTCTAGTAAGCCTGCAATTATTTCAAAATCAGTACTTTAAAACAATCTTTACAGAATTTACCCTCTGAAAGCTCTGACACTTCCAGAAATGTACCCTACAGATATACACATATCCATGACAGCATTACTGGTACTGGCAAATACCTAAATATTATTTACCCATAAAACGGGATGCTATTCAGGCATCTTGTACAACAAGCTATCAGGTGGGAAAAAGTGAACCACAAAATAATACATGCAGTATGCCATACATCCTGCTAAAAAACAATAATATATAATAATATGCCTAAGCTTGTTTAAAAGACACAGAAGACCCCAGTGACGGCAGCTGCCTGAGGGAGGGGCGCATGGAGGACCAAGATGAGCAGGCAGGGGACTCCCTGCTTTCCACTGTACCCCATCGTGTACCTTTTGAATTGTGGGGCACGAGCAAGTTTCACCTGCTTTTAAAATAACTTAAAAACGTACGTATTCATTACGCACTTGGTATGTGTCAGGCGCTATTCAGTTCTCTTCCATTTATTCTATCCCTTTTATCTACCCCTGTTACAGATGAGGAAGCTGACATTTTAAAGGTTAACTGACTTTATTAAAGCTTCATAATGGGGGGTGCTGGGAAGATGGCGGAAGAGTA